CTCCTCCCTCCCCGCGCCCTCTAACCTTCGCTCCCCCCTTCCCGCGCCCTCTAACCTTCGCTCCCCCCTTCCCGCACCCCTTCCCGTGCCCTCTCCCCCTCTTTCATTCATTAAGGTTTATATTTCTCAACAGGACTATAGACTAAAATAGCATGCTTACAAGTACAAGCGCTATACAAGTTATCAATCAACCAATCCATCTATTTAAACCTGCTCATTAAACGTCAGTAATAAGCAGAACTAATTGAAAGCGGGATGCCTATGTCAGCATCAGACGACGATGATGGAGCTGGTGGTGGTCTGTTACCCGAAGATCCTATACAAAATATTGCCAATCATCTTTTACCAGATGAGGAAGACAAATATTTAGGAGAAGTAAAATCAGATATTGTTGGAATTCGCTATTACAATGGGAAGGTACGTAACACCCTTTTTTTTATTTAAAAAAAATGTTAAAATAGGGATCTCCTATCAAAGCCAAATGGATGGCATAAGTGTTACCTTTAGGATAGTCACGCACAGAAGAGCACAAACGAAATAATTGTGTTGTATTCAGTTTAAGGCAGATTTCAATGTCAAACTCCTGTTTTTACTAAACTGGTTAACTCATCAAGTTCGTTAACAAGCTGTAATGCGTCGTACTAGCACTGAATCAACTCGAGTCCTTTTTCATACAAATACAACTTTTCTATTTTCTGTGATTTTCTGATTTCGGCCAAAGCCGAAAATAAACCGAAAGTTAAAAATGACTTTCAGCCAAAACCGAAACCGAAGCCAAAAATGAAATATTTAGATATTTTGAAATTCGTTCCCGCATACATTCGGCATACATCGAAAATGATGGGAGAAATTATAAATATTTACATTCTTTTTTATTAAAAAATGAGATAATCGTGAATATTAAAAAATAAACATCTAATATAAAATCTTGTTGTTAAAGGTCGTTTAGTTGTTCTTAAAGTTTTCTGTTTAAGATCGCGCTTAGTTTATTCTTATAAATTATTTAGTTTACTATTAATGATCATTTGTTTAGTTCTTAAAGATCATTTAGTTCGTTCTTAAAAATCGCTTTATTTTGTTCTTTAAGATCGTTTAGTTTTTTATTAAAGATCGCTTAGTTTGTTTTAAAGATCGGTTAGTTTGTTCTTAAATGTCGCTTAGTTTGTTGTTAAATATCGTTTAGTTTGTTCTCAAAGATCGCTTAATTTGTTCTTAAAGATCTTTTTTGTTTTGTTTTTAAAGATAACTTTTGTTTTTAAAGATCGTTTAGTTTGTTCTTAAAGATCGCTTAATTAGTTCTTAAAGATCGTTTGTTCTTAAATGTCGCTTAGTTTGTTGTTAAATATCGCTTTCATTGAGTATTTAGATGAGCGAAAACCTCAGTCACTTTAAAGTCTCAGTCAATTTCGGCCGAAACCGACAAAAAAAACGAAATTTAACTTTTCTCTTTCGGCCGAAACCAAAATTAAGCCGAAAGTTAACTTTCAGTTTCGGCCGAAACCGAAACTTGGCCGAAAGTGATAAAATTGCCACTTTCGGCGCCGAAGCCGAAATTCGGTCGGTCTCTAATCTAATGTAGCCCAAATAGCTCGCTATCAGAAAGAAATAAAACACAACCTCCTTTCACAAAGTTCCTTTCACAACTCCTGCACGAATAAAGCGCGCATCACAAATCAGACTAGAGTGCACAACACTTAATGTAAGGTCGGCCGTAATGCAGTATGAAAATCTTGTGCGGGCCAAAAGAAAATAAGACAGGACTTGTGCGGGCCAAAAAATATAGATCAGTGGGAAAGTTATTAAGAAAATAAGAATAACGAGTTTTTCGATACCTCGCGGGCTACAAAGTGGGTGCTGGCGGGCCACATGCCATATGCGGCCCGCGGGCCGTATGTTGTGCAGGCCTGGACTAGACAATACGTCTTGATAAGCATAAAAATATGTCACCAAGTCAAGCGCGGGAAGAGCGTTCACTAACTAATTAACATTAATCTCTCAAAATCACACTGCGCGTAACCAAACATAATATTAGTATCCAGTCGCAACAGTTAATGAACTCCCATACTTGACAGTCAACCCGCATGGCATTTAATTTACTTGAGCTTTACAAAATATACATGTACAAGGGTGAACATTTTTGGGGGAAGGATTATGATATTAGTCTACATGATGTGCGATCCTCATCATAAAGAATTTGACCATTCTGTGGTCTTCTAAAAAATTTATCGAGGCGGATTTGTGCGTGTGTTGCTTTTCCCTTCTATTACTATTCAGATTATCTTTGCATTCAGTCATTGCGTCACATCATTGTGACCTTGTCACCATAGCCTTTGTTGATACATTTGTTGATCTAATTTGATAGAAGTTTCATTTAAATTCTCTATTTAAATTTGATTGATAAACAAATTTGAATTGTCATCTCGATAGTTAACTACGTTAAAAAAAATAAAACAGCTTTAGTTAAGTGAGTTATCATTTTCCAGTACATATTTCTATTTTTAAACTGCTATTTTTTAAACTAATGTCTTGATTTACCCAACCCTTTTTGGTGTTTTTTTTTTAAAATCAGGTGTCAAATAATGACATGGTTGCTCTTGTCAGAGAACCTGACAACAAATTTGATCCCAATGCTGTAAAGGTTTTAAATATGGCCTCACAAAAAGTTGGATATATAAAAAGGAAACACGCGGCTGCATTAGCCATCATCATGGATAAATCATTAGCAAGAGTTGGAGGGTAAGTCTAAAGTTTATATGACAACAAACTCCATTTACTGGATCTTTCCCCCCACCCCCACCCTTTAAATACAAAATTTTCTTAAATTTTTTTATACCTGTTTTAAATATTTAATTAATTTTTTTCCTATAAATATGCAGTAATCTAATGCAATGCTAAATTAAAATTGAATTCCATTTATCAGTTTTTGAATAAAGGACATACTTCTATTTTTTTCTAAAATGAACTCATCTGACTTCATTTCTGTCACTTTTTTTGTTCATTTAAAAAAAAAAATTTAATGGAAATTTATTTTTAAACAATATTCCATAAAAATTCCTCTAATTATTTGTTTCCAGTACTATTCCCTATGGAGCAGACTTCTATTATCAAATTCCAATATACATACTATTCAGGGGTTCAAATGAGAAGAAAGAAGAAGTACTAACTATAATTAACTCCCATGGCATGTCATTAAGACCCACTCAAAATATTTTTGGAAACAATGATTCCTTCTCAAAAGCCTATACATCATTGATTCAAGGATTGCAATACACGCCACCAGGAGCAACACAAGATCCTTTTAGAAACAATGGTTCCAATTTAAACGCCTCTACGTCAATGAGTCAAGGATTACCATACATGCCATCAGGAGCAACACAAGATCCTTTTAGAAACAATGGTTCCTATTTAAACGCCTCTACGTCAATGAGTCAAGGATTACCAAACTTTTTAACTCCACAAGAGGTATCCATTTTAAGCAAATTTATCCATTAATTTTCACATTATCAATCATACAATTGAAATGACTATAATGAGGATTAAAAGGTTATGTCAGAAGTATTGAAGTAACTGAAACATAGAAAAGTGGTTAAAACACTGCAGTTTGCATCATGTGCATTAAATTAGTGTTAAACAGTTCATCTTTTTAGGAAAAGCATTTATTCTATGCATCAAAATAAAAACTTTATGCATTTTTTCAAATGATTTCAGTGTTGAAAAGAAAATGTATACAAAAATTATGTAAGAACTGAACCTAAACAAATGAATATCAGTCCTGATGATTAAATTTTAATTTAAAAATTTTTTTTTAAAATTTTTTAGACATAAAATCACTTTCTAATATATGTACATGTAATTGCATATCAGATATGATAAAATCAAGCACTAGAAATATAAACAAAAAATTGTGTAATGAGTAATGTTTATCTTTTACCCCAAAGATGCAAAATGAATTTGATAAAATATTTGAAACACTGGATGAAGGTGACAAGAGAGCAGAAACTGAACCAGCTGATGTAAGATTCTTTTTAAAATTCTTTTAGAAAAATGTGTTAGGATCTTCATACCTTACCTTGTTATGGATATTATTTTACTCAATTTGATGTACAATAACGACCAGTCTGAAAAAATGGTCATGCAGTCTTAAATGTTACTGTTTGAGTAAATAAATAAATTTAAATGGCGTTTGTTTTGGAGAATTAATTGATTAATAACTTACTAATTTAAAATAATTTTGATAAATTGAATCTACAAAAAAATGTACTTAATGGAAATAGCGATCTTGGAAACACTTTGTTTCTAACACTTAACAGTACCGGTAGTTAAAAAATTAATTGTTCAATTTCCTGTCAAAAGGCTGTGAGCACAGTGCTTTTCCCTTATCAGAAGCAAGCTCTCAACTGGATGATTAGTAAAGAGAACACAGACACTCTGCCACCATTTTGGGAAAAACTCAACAATGACTGCTACTGGAACACTCTGGCCATGTTTATTTCTAATACTACACCAAAAAGTGTGCATGGAGGTATGGAGAAAGAAATTATAAAAGTTACAAATAAAGACAAATCTGCATATATTTAAGCCTATAAAAACTTATTTTTCTATTTATTGTTAAATTATTGATATACTTATAAATGGTTGAAACACTGAGCTTAAAAAAAAACACTGGGCTTAAAAAAGGCAAAACACAGAGTTCATTTTAAAAAATAACATTTCTAGATGTAAACAACTTACAAGTAAGTAATAATAAATTGAACATTTTTAAATATCTGTGGAAAAAAATATTAACAGAATTTTAAACCAGTTTCCTACACTTATTTTCTCTGCTATAAATAGTTGAATAATTTTATTTCCAGGAATTTTAGCAGATGACATGGGTCTAGGCAAGACCCTGGAAATGATTTCATTAATTTTGTCTAATTTTGTTGATGGTAAACCACTTGCTCATCCCTTGCCAGGAAAATGCAGGTCGCCTTATGGATCTGAGACCATGGTACAATATTACTTTTTACTCAAAATAGTTACAATTAACATGTGAAACTTTGGTTCACACAAAAACCTTATCGTCAATAATAAATAAATTTCCTTGCCAAATTTAAAAAAAAACAAACAAACAAAAATAATATTTATCGTACCTGATAGGTGTCTACAAAGTTACAGAAAACAACTGTTTCAAGTCCAGCCCATACACCAGTCGTTCAGGACAGTTTACATGCTAAAACAAATTTTCACCACAAATTTTCACCTTGTTTAATAGAAGAAAGATCAGTAAGAACTCCTAGGGCTAGGGCGCCTAGGCTACTGATTCCAATTCCAGGTAAGCTGTCTCGCAACAAAAACAACATTTTATTAGGAAAATAAACAAACATAATTAAAAGAATTTACCAAAAACACAATTGGAACTTGATTTATTTATATCATTTCTTTTTTTTTTAAATTAAATTTAAGTTGAACTTTTAAGTTATCTATCCTCCCAAAAAGTGTTGTTTTTTTTTTAAAATAAAAATAAAAACGTTGAACCTTTGCACAAACTGCACATCTTTTATTAACACAGTTACTTCCCTTGTGGGACATTTGGGGGAAAAATATTTTTAAAATAAGTAATGAAAATTCAATTTGTTGAAATTCACAGGAAAGAAACATGAAAATCCTGAGCCTAGACCTTCTGAATTTAATGAAGATACCATCACAGCGGAATCCGGTAACGGAGCAAAGAGGTGAGATAAATTAATATCGAAAAGGAACTAAAACACATTATTTAATCTAAAGAACAAGACAAAAATATAATTATTTATTAATTAATAAAGATATATAAGAATACTTAACTTTAGATACCGTAGCCATAGTGGTGTCCAGTGGCGTGTTAAACTATGAGTATGAGTAGGACTAGTTTAAATGATAATGGGTGGTCTTTAACGTCAAAAAAATTGTTCCATGTTTATTCAGTTATGACAATAAATTGTATAATTAAATTATTTTGGGCCCTGAACACTATTAAAAGTGGTATCTCTAATTTTAACAAAACTTATTGATTCAGCTTACGGATGTGAATTATGTGTTTACTTTCAAAAGTGAGTATGATGCCTATGCACATTTTACATTTTCAAAAGAAGACATGTTTTTTTTAAGCAAAGACTTTTTTTCTAATTCTTTGAAATCGAATTATATCAATCATTGACCACGATCTTTCCATTAGTTAATGCCTATTCTTTTTGAATTTTGATTTCAAAGATGTCAACAAACAAAAATAATTGTTTCCAGTTGCTATTCTATCTTTCTGAAACAATAAGTTGTAAAAAAAATTTCCCCCAATTACCAGTGTTTCTTTCAGACAATTTGCTCTGGAGGGGCTTTCGATGTTTGGGTAGACAGTGCCAGTGGACCAGGAAGAGGGAGCGGTCCAACCCAAGTGGCACATTTTTTTCATTTTATGTAAGGGTGGCATATTTGGCCATCTGCAGAGTTTTTATTGTTGAAGGAGCATAAAAAACCTTGGCTTGCCGAGGGTAGCCCTAACCCAAGCTATGCCACTGGGCAGTGCATCTATCAGGTCTAAAATTAGGCATAATGGCAATCTATGTCCATCCCCTTGCCCAAAATAAACTGAATTCATTCCAGTAAGTGATACCCCTGGGAGTGTGCTTTTTTGCCACAGCTAAGTTTCAACCCTGAAATCTATATAGTCATACTATATTTACAAAATTAGGGTAATATTGTGTTTGTCATTTCAAGAAAATCATCTTAATTACTAGCTGTGTCAACATTATTTGGGTTGGGGGGGGGGGGGACGGGGGGCTTCTAAGTCTTAAAAATGGGGATATATAAATAAAATTAACAAATATTTACAAAATTAGGGTAATATTGTGTTTGTCATTTCAAGAAAATCATCTTAATTACTAGCTGTGTCAACATTATTTGGGTTGGGGGGGGGGGGACGGGGGACTTCTAAGTCCTTAAAACGGGGATATATAAATATAATTAACCAATGTCAACTATTGGAAGAAGGGTGCTGTATACAGCCATAACTGGCCTATATTTGGAACAATACAAAAATTAGAATGTTTTTTTTTTATATATATTAAGGGCCCACAATCAATTTTTTTTAAAATTATTCTGGCTCCTATATTAAAATATTCGGTTCAAATATATCAAACATAGTGATATTTCTTTGATTCCATTATTTTACTCATTTTAATAGATGACAAGTACCATTACACTTTATAAAAGATTTGTTATATTTTTCCTTAATTTTTTAAAACCAAATTAGACTTATAACATCACTAGAAAATATTCTTTTGAATAAATATTTAAATACATTAGAATTTTTGTGTGTTTTAGATTCATGATTTGTTCAGCTGAACTTCTTCTTCTAATAGCTTTAAAAATAATTTTATCTTCTGTGTTTAAATTAATTTACATGGTAGGTCGGGAGAAGTTATACTGTAAATATGAAATCCTTTTATTTTTTTCAAGCTTTATGAAAAGATCTGTTCAAGATGCTTGTGATGACATGGGTAAGTCTAAGTTTATACTACATAAATACTACCAATCAAAAAAAGAATAAATAATTTGTAACAGTACATGATTAATAAAACTATTTTTCTTATTTTATTTCGCCATAAAATTTTTTTAAAAGCTACATTTGTAAGAAATACAGCAAATGTATAATTTGTCTTCAAGCTCATTTTGCCATAAGGGTGAACAGATCATGCTCAAAATACAGACATAAAATATATTTTTTGACTTCTATAAATTAAGATTTTTTTAATATATTTTTAAATATATAAAATGTGTGCTGACCCACCAATATACTTTCCTTTGAGCTTTACACTCTGGATGTGCTTGCACTTGCAACAAACACAAACATTTAAATCTTTTTTTTTTAAATAATTTTTTTTAAAAATAAAATAAGTGAGGAATTTTCATGTGCAGAATCATCAGAATCAATGTGGGAAATTATGTGTGTGGGGAATATTCAGTGTATGGGGTATTCCATTTTGGGAAGCTGTGATCTTTGAGTGAGGAATAATCCTGTGCAGAATTTTTGAGTGGGTAATTAAAGTACCTGCGATAATAAATCAGCTTACACTTACGCACTACATGCCTTGTGCAGTGCACTGACCCAATTTGGACTTAGCTTGGTCTATGTGCTGTTGATGTTTACATTTGCTGAAATTTCATTGTTGGGACTTGTGCACTAAAAGAACAACTTTTTATCAACAACAAACCACTTTCAGTAGTTGAGACTTTTCTCTCTTTTAAAAAAAGAGTAACAAGAGTTTGTATACATGAGTGGAATCAACCAAGAAATTTATTATAGCCTAAAGCTACATTAATCCACATTCAGGCATTTTTGAGGTCATTGCCGATGATGTGAATCTGAAGTCACAGTCAATTAATGAAGCCAAATGTCGACTAAATTTTCACATGAGAAGTGGCGTCATTTCTGTAGCCCTGAACTCACTGAATGGAGTCAGCAAATTATTACAAAGGACACTAAAACTTCAACAGACATAAATGACAGATTTTTAAAATTACAAAGAAAAAATGTTTGATGACCACTAGAAGAAGACAAATGACATATTAGAATGGGACATTAGGATAATGAAAATAGAGAGAAAGATAGAGCTGTTATTTCAAAGAAGACAAAGCTTAAACTTATCTAGCAAACTGTATATTTGTTTTGCGCACAGCTACCCTGTCGCATGGAAGTATATACACCACTGTTCATTCTCGATAGTAATGGCCCTTTCTTGTTGAGTTCTAGATGATGACAGATATAGAAATTAATGCTCTCACAAAGATTTAGAGAGAACAGTGCTGAGGACGTTCCAGTTGGAATTTGCAAAAGAAATGCTGTATTTGAAGCACTTCATATCATAGTTTGAAGCGTCTTATGAAAAAGTTCTAGTAACCTGATAGTTAAATATTCTTTATTGAAAAGAATAACAATATGAAAAAAAAATGTACAATACCTTTCCCTAATTACAGCAACCTGATATTTATTGTGTTTCCTTCTCTTGGTAGGAGTGAACATTCAGTAAAAGTGAAAAAGCTGTGCAGCTAATTGGGTCAGTGAATAAAGAACCTGAATAAATGACTGCCTCTACTAAACAAAACTAGAAAACAATTATTTCTTTAAAAAATAATTCTTAAATGTATTTGTTTTAGCTGATGATGAACTCCCAGATATTATATCTCCATCAGAGTTAAACAAGAAACTTAAAGGTAAGGCTAGTCATGAAGAATAAATGAAATTGATTTAATATGTACTAGAAATAACCAGCAAAACAATGGCAGCGGCAATACGTGACCTTACCATCTACTAAAGTTACTTAACAAAACATACATTAAAGTAACCCACTTTATATGAATTCCATTTAGTGCTAATTACATATATATTTCATTAGAAATATTTACCATGCTAAAATAAGGGATTACCTATATAATAATTTAATTATATTTGTTTTATCAGATTAAAATTGATTTAATTTCCATAAAATTTAAAAAAAAAATACTTTCAGTGTTTTTAAGAATCTCTAAATAAGAAATAGGAATTTTATCTTCAACACATATTTATGCACTGGTTTTGAACAGAGCATTAGTTACAGCCATACATTTCTAACTAAATAATCTAATTAGAAGCTATGATATTTTTACTCATATTTTTTCGTAAAAAAGACGTTGCATTTCTTAAAAACCGAGATGTTGTCATTACCACATATTCTACTCTTACTTCAGACTTCAAAAAGGTATATTTAAGACAATTAACATAAGCTAAACTTATCTGTTTACATTTTGCTTTAAAAATTCTCCAACTTTAATTTGAAATGTATATCAAAGAGAGGGCATGCATTTTTCCCCTTTGATCTATTTAGCTGTGGAGTTTTTACTCAGCTATTAATTATATATTTTTTGGGGGGTAAAATCTTATAATACCCTATGCGTTTTTTAAATTCTTAGTGTTAAAAATTGAGACATTAATAATTTAGGCCTAGTATTTAAAAAAAAATAATTTAATTCATTTTTTGTTTTTTTAACTTTAGAGTTTAACCAGTAGTTTTAACAGTAGCCCACTACACAAAGTAAAGTGGCTTCGAATAGTGTTGGATGAGGGGCACATTATAAGAAATCCCTCTGCCCAACAAACAAAAGCTGTATATGAACTGAAGGCCAGAAGGAGATGGATTTTAACAGGTTTGATCACAGTTCTTGGAAACAAACCATTTAATAATTTTTGAAGGCTATGAAACTATCACCACAATGTTTTGCAGCCCTAACAAAAAAGTATGCATGGCTAGTAAAGAAGTCTAAAAAGTGTGTATAGTAAGTAAATAATTCTTAAAAGTGTGTATGGTTAGAAAAGAAGTATAAAAAGTGTGTATGGTTAGTAAAGAAGTATAAAAATAAAAAGTATGTATGGTTAGTAAAAAAAATGTATAAAAAGTGTGTATGATTAATAAAGAAGTCTAAACAGTGTGTATGGTTAGTAAAGAAGTCTGAAAATTGGTTCTAGCATACCATCCCCCACCCCCATGTGAAAATTAATTCAACTCCCAATCAACAAATAGGAAGTCTTTTTTTTTATTGTGAAGCATCCATACAAATACATCAAAGAGGTCTGTCTTGCTGCAAACCTCATCAAGCCAAGGACAAGTAGTGTCATTCTCTTTCTTTTTTTTTCAAAGTTGTATTCCTTTTGTTGTTCCCATTATATATGTATAATGAATAAGTTTTAGGCAATTAGCTTAAACAACCCTTTTTGGTTGGGATGATTATTCAAGGGGGGGGGGGGGGGGGGGTTCGGGTTTAAAAGCAAAGGCCTTTTTTCCTGTTAAGTTTGATTTTTGCTTTTAAAAATTTGTGGTCACTTTGGTTATCATGAAAGATTATGCCAACACCTTCAGTAAGCGTATTTTGCTTTCCATTAATGACTTTGGGGTCAATTTTGCTCTGCTTTTGATCCACGGGTTGGTGTGTCCAGTTGAATTTGTCGTTTTTCTTGTGTTTCAATGCAAAGAAAGTGCCTCCAACAGCCATATTTTCTTCACTAAGGCTAAGCACTCTTTCCCAACAGATATTCAGAACTATTTAGAGCTATAGCCCACCAATGGTTTCTTTTGAATAATACTGATTTGCTTCTGATCTATTTATATGTAAAGCATTAACTTTTTTTAAAAAGAAGCTGCTTTTTAATCAAATCAGGTACACCTATTCAGAACTCTATCAGGGACTTTTGGTCAATGTTGAACTTTTTGCAAGTACAACCATTCACCGACGAATCATTGTGGGATGATATTATTGCTAAGCCTCTGTGTAGTGGAGAAATGCCTGCTGTTCAGTTAGTATATTTTATTAATTTTTGATGAACAGAATTTTTTTTAAAAATGTTATAGACTTATTTTGGAAACCATAACTATTTCAAATTTGATGTCATATTTTAATTTTCTGCTCAAATTTTTTTGTAATATTCACTTCAAGCATATAAATTTAACACCTTGAATTATTTTTATAGGAAAGTTGGAGCTTTAATGAGAAGTTTAGCTCTGAGGCGTACAAAGAATACAAAATATAATGGAAAGCCACTTATAGAGCTGCCAACTCGAGAAGTGACAGTCAAATGGATAACTTTAAGTAAAAAAGAAAGAGACTAAAGGACAAATTCTTATAAGAAGGTAATTGAAAAAAACAATGTAACATCTAATTATGTATTGCAAATATTTCTAAGCATTCATTTATGGTCTTCTTTAGAATATTGATATTTTTTCTCACTTTTGTTCTTGATTGATTGAGCCTGTCTTCCTGCTTCATGGCTGTTGTCTGTTTTATTTTTTTTTAACTCAATCAGCTGCCCTCATCCCTAAAAGGTTGACACATGTTAGACCACTTCATCTCGTCGAATAGTTTCTTAAATCTAACTTTGGTGGATCTTTAACAATTCCAAAACATAAAATGAAGTGGTGTAGCTAGGGTTAGTAGCCCCGGGCTCTTGTCGTCATGTCGATCAATGACATGTTTGATAAAGAGGCGCTCGCCACGAACCCCCTGAAGCGTTACCCGGGGAACAGTACCACCGTGTAGGGGACCCGCGCTGAAAGGCAAAGGTAACGCACGGAGACTGCGTTAAATCGAGCACGATTGCATGGCTTCCCACCAAGTGCAGTCGAACTATTTTACTAAACGCAGAAACAGGTTGGGACATGATTACAGTTGCCGTATGGATATGAGGTGAAGGTGTGTGGCAACCTTTCACCGGTGATTCTAAATATGCAGTCTTGAGGGTACTGCTCCAAGGCAACCTCTCTCTCCCATCTACGGTGTGAATTAGTCGCGCCGTAGAATAACCATACAAACCCTAGTAGAGGGCGTCGGTCTTAAACAACTACGCGGTCCCCCCGGGGTGGTAAGGGGGGACTTTAGAGACGTTAAATATCCACCCCAACCCCTTAGAAAGTCCGGCCCTGTTGCTGCGTGAGCAGCAATCCGGCTGTGGGCTCTTGTCGTCATGTCGATCAATGACATGTTTGATAAAGAGGCGCTCGCCACGAACCCCCTGAAGCGTTACCCGGGGAACAGTACCACCGTGTAGGGGACCCGCGCTGAAAGGCAAAGGTAACGCACGGAGACTGCGTTAAATCGAGCACGATTGCATGGCTTCCCACCAAGTGCAGTCGAACTATTTTACTAAACGCAGAAACAGGTTGGGACATGATTACAGTTGCCGTATGGATATGAGGTGAAGGTGTGTGGCAACCTTTCACCGGTGATTCTAAATATGCAGTCTTGAGGGTACTGCTCCAAGGCAACCTCTCTCTCCCATCTACGGTGTGAATTAGTCGCGCCGTAGAATAACCATACAAACCCTAGTAGAGGGCGTCGGTCTTAAACAACTACGCGGTCCCCCCGGGGTGGTAAGGGGAGACTTTAGAGACGTTAAATATCCACCCCAACCCCTTAGAAAGTCCGGGCCTGTTGCTGCGTGAGCAGCAATCCGGCTGGCCAGGTGTTTCTTCTCTGGGGCTGCCACACTCAGCGGCCAATCGAGTGGAGGTCGAGTGTGGCGGTCTTAGGGGCGGAGCGTCCCTGGCGGGCCGCTTCGCGGCCCGATCGGAATAAAGACCACTGGGGGATTGGTTGACGGCCGGTTTGGTTGGCGGGGTGGTGCGTTGGGGAGGACCATATGAGCCTCAAGGCTCGGTGTTCGCTGATTTTCTTAAGTTAGTTAGTTAGCTAGGGTTAGTGCCTTAATATTTATTAAGTGAGTGTAACTCATTTTTAAGTTAAGAACGCAGCAATCTTGTATTCAATACCATAAGACAGTGAACAACCTAAATGAGGCTTGTAAGACTTTCACTTTTAAGGAACTGGATTAAAGTTTAATGGATAAAATGTACACATTATGAAACATTATATTTAAAAGCCTTTGAAAATTAATAATTAAGTTACAATGCAAAATGTTCAAAATATAATAACAATAATAACTTAAAATTTAAAAATTATCTCACAAACTGAACAAAAAGGGACTTTTTGAAATCATTTGTCAATTATTAATATGACATACACTTAATTATCAGGATTCCCACCAAACATTTTTTTCCAAGCAGCCCTTTGTACAAAAACGTTCCACACCCCTGCTACCTAGTCTATAAAAATAAAATTTGAACTTGAACTATTTTTTTTAATCTGAAAATAGAAATATCACCCAGCCCACTTTTAATTATATTAATTAAAGAATTTAAATTCCAATTTTTAAAATCAAAATGTCTCTCTTATCTAGGTACGCTCAAAGAAATGTGCTGCTATATCATTATGGTGAAGTGTTGGCTATCCTTATGAGACTACGCCAGCTGTGTTGCCATCCTCAGCTCGTAGCTAAGGCTTTAAATAAAATGAATGAAAACGACTCTGGTAACTTACATTAACATATATACCCATATTATTTTAAGCAGTGATTTTTTTTTTTTTTTTTTTCAAACTTGAAATCAAACTTAGTTTATTAAAATATTTAAACTTTTAAAAAATACTTAAACCAAAAGTATAACTGTCAAAAAAAATAAATGAATACTTATTCTTTTTTTACACTAAATTAACATATATACCCATATTATTTTAAGCAGTGATTTTTTTTTTTTTTTTTTCAAACTTGAAATCAAACTTAGTTCATTAAAATATTTAAACTTTTAAACAATACTTAAACCAAAAGTATAACTGTCAAAAAAAATAAATGAATCCTTACTCTTTTTTTACACTAAAACATACAATTATTTTTAGTACACTAAAACATAAATAAGGTTCTAATGCATTTTTTCTACCTTTAATCATAACTCGTTATAATCAATAAATCCTGTAAATATTTCTAAAATTAAGAGGTAGCTTAGTGAAAAACAGATCACAAAATATATAGAGAAAACTATTTACCAAAAATGTATTAGGGGACAATCATTCGATGTATGCATTGAGGGGGAGGGGGTTGTTGATTTAGGAGATTTTGCAGTTTCAAGTTTATTTTCAATATCTATAAAAATACAAATGAATACCTGGTACATAAAATAATTACAAAACGTATTGATAAAAGGGAGAGAAACCCAGCGACATAATTTTGTACAGGCTTAAGGTGAATTCTTTTTAATTGTCTATAATAAATTTTAAATAGGTGGTGGTGAGGGGGGGGGGAGGTTTGCTCTCATTTGAAAAGGTTACACCAGGGGTCGGGAACCTTTTTGTCTGAGAGAGCCATGGACTATACATATTTTGAAAAGTAAGTCTGTGAGAGCCATACATTATGTTTAAAACTAAAAATTCAAGTAAATGTGCGCATTTTGTGTAATTTCAATTCTAAAAATGCAATAATTATGTCTCTGAATTCTTTTTAATAACATTGTTATGCTGTTGCTAATTAATAATGAGTATTTCTTACCATTAATGCAACTTTTTTTTTTTATAATCGAACATTTGTCTGTGAGCCAGATGCAGCCATCAATAGAGCCACATCTGGCTGGCGAGTCATAGGTTCCCGACCCCTGGGTTACACCATAGTACACTGCTTTTCTAGGATTCAGGGAATAAAATTGCCTTTTTCCTTCATTAATTAATCATAGTTTCACAATTGTAATTACAAATAGAGCCTTTTCTGTGTTATGTATATGGTTATGCCTTTAACACTTAAATCTTTCTTAATAATTTTTTAAAAAGTGGAATTTTATGTGCTAAAAACTAATAATGTTAATAAAACTCATATAACTATATAAACTAATCTAAGTTATATGGGAAATAGTAACACAACTTTGTAGTGTAGTTAAAAATATCTTAGCATAAACTATTTATCATATATTGGAATTTGAAGAAAAAAAAAATTAAGTCATTGATGACACACATTTTTAATAGGACAATTTCTTAAATTTTCCATCATTTATTTTTATGTTATGGCATCATTTTTATCTATTTAGATGACACCAAAATTATGGATCATCTCATGTCTGTACTGTTGTCTGGCTCTGATGTGGAATGTACTATTTGTTTGAAGAGTTTATATGATCCAGTCATCACTCCCTGTGCTCATGTCTACTGTAAACTTTGCATTGAAGCAGTGCTCCTCGAAACTAAAAAGGTACTTAAATTAAACACATTGTCATGTAAGCCTTGTCAGATCCAGGTAAAGCAATGGGGTCACTATTCATAAATTGTATTTTCAAAATATTCATCAATTCTAGCCCAAGATTTTCAGGTATTTTCAATGTTAAACATAATTGTCTTTAGTAGGCCTACTTATATTAACCCTGTGACTGTTCCTGCTTTTGATGGCCTTGTAGACTACATTGCTGCAACCAAGTACTGGCATATGTGGTTTGTAAAAACAGGTTTTGCCATAGTTTGTACATTAATTGTTGGATAATGCAATGTTGAAGAAGGTTCAACAGTTTTTATGACAAATAAGAAATGCCATTGTTTCATTAATAAAGAGAACCTATCTGTAGTACTACCAGATTCATATATCTATACTCTATGGAATAAATTGCTATTCTTTTCCATGAAAAATACTCCGGATCTGAGACAGTTCATTAGCCAATTGTCCATATGTTTCTCAAAGGCATAATAGTTTATCCTTCACTCAGCTAAAATTTTGTTGTGAATGTACTTAAAAAAAAAAGCAGGGAGTTTATATTACACTTTAACACTTTTTCACCAGCCTGTGCAGTGTCCTCTTTGTTGTGCAAACCTTGAAAATGCACAGCTTATGACTGCTCCTCATTTACTGAATAACAGTGACAACACACAATGGGTGGATTCTGATAATAAGTGGCAATCTAGTACTAAAGTAAGTGCGCATCTATTTGCTTTTTTTTAAATTTAATTTTATATTTACCTTAATTTTATATAAATTATATATTTCAAATTTAATTTTGTTTGGCATCTCTATGTACGGCACGGTCAAATCGAGATATTTATTTCTTAGCAATAAAATAGTGATCTCTTCATAATCTAAAAACCTCTGAGATTAAGACCTGTTGAGAGCAACATCTGATTAGAATCGTCTCATCTGACCTAGATGACCATCCTTAGATTATGTGCGCACTTAAGGGGGGCACTGATAAAGAAAGGTGCTGTCCGCCCTGGTTGCCACTTTTTTCTTTATAGAGCGGGGCTGCATTTTCTGCCAACTGCAGAGTTTTTTCTTGGGGGCGGGCTCGAACCTAACTATCCCACTGATGCATTTAGGAGATTTTGCATAAGAGTGCATATGGGCAGGGAGAAGGGGTTTGCACATTTATGCACATGTTCTTCAATAATTATCCTGTAATTCCAATTTGATTTTAGAGGCTCATTAGTTACATGGTCATTTGTAGGTTAGATATGCATAGGGGGATGGGGGACCAAAAATGTATGGTGCAACAGGGAGGATCAGGTAATTAGTTTTTGTAGTGTTGCGTTTGTTTTAAATGTGGTAAATTATAGATTTTTTACTCTTGTACCGCGCTTCTAGCCTTTGAGGATGAAGCGTGTTTTTGAAATACAATTTATTATTATTTATTATTATGAAAACATGACTTTTTGCGTACATTATATATCATATGGATGGCAAGTATTTTATTTTGTACATCTAGGTTGATGCTCTCATGGGGGCTCTAAATTCATTGCGCAGAGATGACCCAGGGATAAAAAGTCTTGTTGTATCACAGTTTACATCATTTTTAACCATACTAGAGGAACCGCTGCGGTGAGTTAATTTGCATTAATTTGCAATTTTTATTTAAATAAGCCTCAGTAGCCTACTTATAACTTGTAATTGCAAGCGATATAACTGGTAATTCACTTAATTGCCAATTTTCAAGTTAACACATAGTCACGAAACCCAGTTACAATTTAATTGCTGCTGCTTAAAACTTTTCTGTAATTTGACATATGAACCTAATATTTAAGTTTTTTTATAGTTATTTACCTTTTATTAAATATTTTTCTGAGATTTTGAAAGAAAACCCACTATTTTTTGTAATACATAATTGACATGGATATAAAAATATATTATTTTACATTTTTTGGACAAAATATTTTAGCATTCCAATACATTATTGTTTATAAAGGAATTATAATGTTTATGCATATTTGTATTTTATGTATTAAAATTTATTTAAATAGATAAAAGTTGATATACTGGAACAATATTAATCATTTATAAACTACAGTACATTTAAAAGTAAATTCAATATTTGTAAGGTAAACAATGGTTGTTTTTTTTAATGTCATTTTGAAGTTAAGCTTGTAATTTTTTTGCAAAATAAATTAAACTATAAAAGAGTACATTTGGCATGTGACTTTAGGTATCTTTTTGGCTGCTAGTCAGGGTCTCTCATGCCCGTATACTTTTCAATAAATTCAAGAAAAAACTAATTGGGTTTGGTGTTTATGTTAAATATACTTAGGCTAATAACAGAATGAAATTTTAATCACATCTCTGCTTTTCAAACAATAGTATTACAGTTTATGGCACTAGCTTCAGTGGTTTTGTGCATGTTTTGAATATGAACAAGTTTTGACTCAATGAATTTATACTTGAAATTTGATAATATAATATATTCTTACCTATGATGTCATTTTTATCATTAATTTAAAAAATTGTTCAAATTTGTTTGAGTCAGTTTGCAAGGTTTCAAATATTGTCGTTTTGATGGTTCTTTGAGTGACACTGAGCGTACAGAAGTGCTTAGGAATTTTTCCCAAACTCATTCAGAATCTCCAACAATTTTATTGCTTTCTCTTAATGCTGGTGGAGTGGGAATCAACCTAACTGCTGCATCAAGAGTTTTTCTCATGGATCCTGTAAGTAGTTGCTTTTTTCTTTCTAAAATATATTTTAATAAGCATACATTTGAAATAGAGATATCTGGCATACCAAATTGAAATATGAAATTATAATACCGGGTAATGCATTTTAATAAGCATACTTTTGAAAGAGAGTTATCTGACATATGGATACCAAATTGAAAAATGTAATTATAGTAACCTAGGTTTTTATTTTTTCCAAACAGGCTTGGAATCCTGCTGCTGAAGACCAGTGCTTTGACCGATGTCATAGAATAGGTCAAACAAAAAATGTGATCACCACAAAGGTATGTAAAATAAACAGATACATTTCCTGATTTAATTTTTAATAAACATAAATTTGTTAGGTTTTTTGTGGTAATTTCTTTTCCTGTTAATATGCCTTCTGGTGAAATTTTACTCACATTGACATTGATCAATTTTATATTCCTTCATTTCGCTGTTAAAATTTTACTGTTTCCTTAACATTTTTGTTATTATTCTCAAGAAATATTTATTTCAATTATTATTACATACATGCTTTGACAAATTCGTTGAAGAACATTAATGAATGTATTATATAAGTTGTAATTCAGTTTTAAGTATAAAGTATTTCAACATGTCAAATGTTCTGAAATTAAACATGTAAGAGAAAGAAGAAAAAGAAATTTAAGTACCAAGTTTTTTAACTATATTAATTCTTTCCATGTCGCAATGAGGTATTTAAATAGGGAAATGTTAATCGCAACTGAAGTTTTGGGTTATTCAAATAGGACATGTGCATCTTTTCCACCACCCATTCCCCCTTGTCCACACCAATCTGCATGTGGCTTACCCCACTCCACCCGGGGTAAACAGTGCAAATGCCAGATAGTATACCAATTATTCAATGCAAAGTGTCACAATCTTTAAACTTCCCATGTTTGAAAATATAAATCATAAAAGTATTCATGGATTTATATACCGGGTATAAAAGTAGTTAAGTGTAATAGATTAAATTTATAAAATAATTCAGTGGTATCAGAGAGCATGTTACTTGCAATTACATAAAATATCACATGATAAATAATTTTTAATTCTTTTATTTATATTTAATATTTTCATATAGACAGCCATTTTTTCTCCTTAAAACATTATTAAGAACACTTTTTTTTTACTGTTAGGAAGAGCTGTACCAGTAACTTTAAAAAAAATTTAAAATGTGATTGCCATATTTTCCTCTGGAACCTTCAATTATCACAGATTTCACCATTCAGACTTAAATTTGAAATGAAGCTCTTTAAGGTGTGAATCAAGGTTTTTATAATTTTTTAAAATTTTGTTTTGTTTTTTTAGTTCATTGTTGAAGACTCTATTGAAGAAAGAATGATAGAGCTGCAAGAAAAGAAAAGACAATTAATGAATATTGCATTTTACAAAGGATTTTTGGGAGAGCAGAACAGAACCATGCGTATCAATGAGATCAAGACTTTGCTTAACCTTAAATAAGGCATGAATCTGATTATCCTTGAAAGAAAAATTGTTTGTTTAAAAAAAAAAAAAGGATTTACTTTCTTTTTGCGCTTTGATTAGTCTGTGTTGCGACTTTTCTTCCTTTGGGTAAATTTTTCCAAGTAAAATTGAATTTTAAAAAAAACAGTGTCAACTGCAGCATATTTTTAAAAAATCTAATGCTTCTAGTTAATATGAGATTAAGTGCTTGGATATTGGTGCTTTAATATACAAATGTTCATCTTTAATCACCTCTAATTTATAATCAGTTCCTAATTTAAACTACAAACTAGTTATTTCATAAATGAGCCTTTTTAAAAAAAAAATTCATATACAAAACTTCTTGTGAGAAAGCATTATACTAACTTTATAGCATGTTATTGCGTTGTTACGATAATTAATTATGATTTTTTTAAATGCTATCTTACCTTTTTTTTTTTAAATTTTAACAATACCTGTTTAAAAAATTTATTAAATTTGTGCAAGTCCACTGGCTAGAATTTGGTTAAATCTCAGTACCGGTACAAAATTTGTTGCTGTACCGGTATCTTTAATTAATTTTAAAATATAATGTAATAGCTTGAAAGGGTGACAAATTTGAATTGGGATTTTTTCATAATCTACATCTTCAAAAGTAAAGTTTAAACATTGATTTTTGAGAGGGGGGGGGGGTTAAATTTAAAGTTTATTAATCCAAAAGTAGGTAAAAGGTTATTTTTTTAAAATTATGCGCTGGAATGCATAATTTTTAACATTTTTCCTGCAATTAATTGAATTTTGTGGTAGTTTCAGCATTGTTATGATGAGAAACAACTCCACTGTTGGTTTTACCATCAATTTTTATTTAATTTTGTTTTCATTGGCTTCTTGAACATGCCTGATAATTAAACTAAACATTGAGAATAGCACACGAAAAAAACAAAAAACAAATAATGCTACATACAGGATTTTGCACCATATTCTCGAATTCTTACTTTATAGAGTACTAAATATTGGTATCACAAATAATAATTCTCTCTTTATGTATGTATGGTTTTAACGCTGTAATCAATAGTCATTAGGTGTGCAAAATAAAACTCCAAGAAGTTAACACTATTTGGGATTGTTATAAATTGCATTACTTGAATGTGTGTTAACTTAAGCATATGGAAAATGGGAAGTTAATACATTGCCGCTGCCATTGTTTGGCAGGTTATTTCTAGTACCCGAATGATATTTTAATGTTTTTAGCTACATCGCTAGACATGCTGTATCAACATTGTATTTAAAAAATTGTGCGTAAAAGATTTCAAGATTTTAAATGTTAATGTAATAATTAGATTTTATTTTATTAATTTTTGCAGCCCTGGTATCCAGGCAATAATTAATTCAAGTTTTATCTCTGTACTAATTAGATGAATTTCTTTAGACCCTTAGACAGAAATGTTATGAAAAGGATCGAATTGAATTCTTCTTAGCTAATTACCCATGATACAGGTATGCATAATATTAAATGAATAATAATTTATATATAAATTTAATTTACGCAAGTAATCATTCATAAATTCATGTCTAAGTTTACTTAGAATTTATTTCCCCGGTATATTTATATACTATTTTCATGTTTTTGGTTTTATAAATGGTGAAATATTTGTTCAATAAAATTTAATTTTTAATTGTGTAAGCATAAACCAAATTTTAAAGTTAGCATGAAAAATGTTTTTTTAAAACCATTTTTTGATACTTTTTTTTATAATTGTAAAAAAAAAAGTGTACCATTTTACTTAAAACTTGTCTTAAATTGTTTTTTTCCTGACAATTCATGCAACTAATGTAACTGCAATCGAACTATTTATATGATAGCTAGAATAAATGACTCAATGTTATCGGGATAATAATGGTAGGTCCTTTGCGATAAATTCTAACTGCTCTTGCAAAAACGAATCCCAATTCATAACTTTTAAAATGTAATGATATTTACTTTTCGAACATCATTAAGTTTTGAGAAGTGTTTATCTGCTATATATGATACTTGTACCTTGCACCCTTTCATGCTCCTAAACTACTTTTCACCCTCTAAACATGACCTTAAATTACCCAGTCTAAATTATCACTAATTATATCAATTTTGTCACTAAAGAAGTTAATTGAGGGACAATTACTATGCTAGATTAAATACTTTATATTTACCCCTTTTCATGCCTTTGAATTACAACTTTTTTTTCTCAAAATTAAAAAAAAAATAATCTTTAATTTACAACAAAAACTCTATATATGATATAGATATATTTTGTATTACAGGAATTCGATATATATTTTGATATCTTCTTCAAAAATTTTGACACATTTTTGCATTTTTTAAAAACTTATACATTATCAGAAAATCTTAAAACAAAGAATTCTTTTATCCAAGAAGAATCTCGCAACTGTTTTTCACGCCTAATTCAGATTTGACTGTCTTTTAAAAAATTTAAATTGTTAATTTCATAAAAATACACACCTCTTTACTTTTTGCAAAGTAACAACAAAACTATATTTTCATTTTTAAAAAAAAAGAAAATATTAACCCATCTTCATTTGTCAAAATTTAATTTTCAAGTGTGTAAAATGATTGGGTTTTGATCATGAATATCAACATATACTTATATTAATGTACCCACGATTTGTTAATGCCATTGATTTTCATAATTGGTAAACATGTGTTTATCTGTAAAAAGAGAATTTAACATCTCTTTTTTTCCACAAATTTAATACCATAGGATTTAAATATATTGTTATCCATGTTAAAATGTAAACATCCTTTTTCTCATCTCCGATATGTATGTACTCAAGAAGGTTAATTATTATTCAAATTAATTCCTTTGTTTTGGGACGTATCTTTTATTGCCTTAGGCAAAATGAACATACCAATATTTGTAAACAGAGAATGCAACATCTTATTTTTTCACAAATGTAATACCATAGGAGTTAACTCTGTTGTCACCAATGTAAGAATTTACACATCTTATTTGCTACCTCTGACATGTATGTACCCAAGAAAATTAATTATTTATCAAATTCATTCCTTTATTTTGAGACTTATCTTGTGCTGCCTTGAGCAAAATGAACATTCACATATTTGTAAAAATATTTTTTTTAAACATTTTTTTTACAAATGTAATACCATAGGATTTAAATGTAAAAATGTACACATCGTATTTCCTACCTCCGATATGAATGAACCAAAGAAGGTTAATTATTGATCAAATTCATTCCTTTATTTTGAGACGTATCTTGTGCTGCCTGCGGCAAAGTGACCAACCCCTCCCCCACCCAGATTTAGATACATTAAGAAAATCTTCCACCGGATTGTAGTCCCTTTCATACCCAAACTAACATATTTTGCACTTCATATGGTTCGTTCTAATTTGTATGAGGTATAAGTGGATTAGTGAATGCTACTTAGCTATGGAGTTGCACTGCACTGATTGACTTAAACCGCATTTTCTTATTAGAATTATATTTAAAGGTTAGTTTTTTTTAGTTTTTATTTCATTATAAATTTAATAAAAGTATATTTTTGTGTAGCCGAGTGGATGACGTAGCTTACAGTTTAAATGAAATCACAATAAAACAATCAGGTCTGAGAACTATAGCTTTTAATGTAAAAGGTACAATGCGTTGACAGAGCCGACAGGAAAATCTCTCACACCTGCCATCGACCCGACGCATCCGTTCCACACTACAATCTCAAAAATGTACACACCTCAAGTCCCAGTTCGCCCCCCCCCTCCCACACACACACACACAGTCACAGGGAACCCGCGTCCGAGCTGACCATGGGTCAACCCCGTAGCAGGGATGGTTATTCCCGCGTCTAAATAACCTACATAAAATTTAAGGCCAGTACACGGCTGAGTGTTACGTTGAATGACCATGGATAATGGATGTGTACGTGCTTGGGGTTACCCATAGCAGTGACACTATGAGAGTGGATTCTCTTATATAGTGGCACATTGCCACATCCACCCCAACTGTTTAAATCCCAGCGTCCCCGCTGGGCCTACTACTTTGTAATAAAAATTTAAAGAACGATCGAATATTTAAAAACAAATTAAAACACTTAGCATAAACAACAACTAGGACTATTGTCTTTTTGTGCCACTGCCTTAATTCCGTTTCTCTCGATTTGCGATGCCAAGTGATCTGCGTGGTACTACTGGTGGAGGTACTATTGGTGGAGGTACTACTGGTGGAGGTACGACTTGCGTTGTGGTCACGTGTTTACCTCGTGCGTGTGATAAATGTTGGGGAGCAGCAATGACAGGTACACATGTGTCATGCCGTTGTGGTGAAACCTGTCTTGATGGGATAGCATCTAAACTGGACACGGTTGATTTTGAATCTGAACTTAATGTCCTTGTTTGTGAGGATGAGCTAATATCGTTCAGGTGCCCTGTACTCTTTGTACTGGAAGTTGGTGGTGGCGAAACCACGGTAGGGATTGAATCCTTTGTGGTTTGATGGGCTTCTTTCATTGGATCGCTTTCATTTTTTAATAAAATTTCAGATTTCTCAAAAACGTTCAGAAGTTCTCCCTTAGAATTAAAAACGTGTGTCTTTGTTTTTAGTGTTACTGTGTGGGTCATGATGACGGTTCTTCTCTCAACATCTGGGCAAACTGCCGAACATCTGGGCAAACTGCCGGTTGTTTTGGTGCAACACTAACAGAACCATCCTGTAAAACAGTGTCAGAAAAATTAACTGTTGATCTCTTCCTAATATTTCGAAGGTCCATATGACCAGCTGTATTAGTCACACTTTCTGGTTGAAGTTTAAGAATCGTATTTGCGTCTGAGTTTGTTGATCGCACATTCTCAGATTTAGTTCCAACAACAGTAGGGCTAAACTGAAGAGGTTTTCTTACATTTGTTGACACATGCTGACCAGCAGTCGGCTGGTCGTGAGCAGCATCATGACCAAATGGCATCTTGGATTTCCTTTTTGACCATCGCCTCCTGGGGTGTTGTGGT